CATGACTACCCTAGACCCTAAACCCCTAAACCCTGAAACCCTTAAACTCCTAAACCCCTAAACCTCCCTAGACCCCTAGATCCCTAAACCCCTAAACCCCTAGACCCTTAAACCCCTAAACCCCTAAACCCTAAACCCCTAAACCCTAAACCCTAAACCCCTAAACCCTCCCATCCCCAAACTGACATGGAAACCCATGGAGGGCAGCGTTTTAACGGAGAGCGGTCTCATTCAGGCACCTCCTGTATGGGCTTCCATGTTGGGTCAGGATGGTTGTGTTATGCCGAGTTTTCCTACTTCTCTTCACCCAAACTAGAATTTAGGCCTCAAACTCCTTGGTGGATGTTGCTGCATGAGGTTTTTCTTTTATCCGCCCGGAATTAATGTCATTTTCTTACGGAATCCCGGAACTTACAGGGCCACAAGGGTTGTGGCACACCTGGCAGTTGCCATTTTTGACAATTGCCCTGAACTTTGACAGCTTTGGGCAAGGATACAGCAAAGAACTGGCAGAGTCGCATCATAAACCCTAAACCCTAACCCCTAAACCCCTGTGGCAATCGCATGAGAAACTCCATAGATGACCAGTCTCAATCACTGAAGGAAATCTGCGCCTGTAGTCCCCCTTAAGTAGATAGAATATGTAGGGAATATATAGAGGTTATATTGGGATAATGGAAAATAGAGTGGAAACTACTATTTAGGGTTTAGGGTAGAGTCCCCCTTAAGCAGATAGAATGTGGGGTATATGGGGGATCTTAGTATAATATACCCAAAGCCATATTCTATCCACTTAAGGGGGACTGTAGTTTTGCAGGAAGATTTCCTTGGATGATGTGTTGTCCATAGCCTTGGTGTGATGTGACCTGCCCGTGTAGCATTCGAGTTTCCGTTCCATTTACGAGGAAAATAGGACCCGCGTAGAAAGCTTTCCCTATGAACTCACAAAGATGAAGCCCGAGATTCTCCATCTAGAAACGGGCCAAAAAGAAAGCATCAAGAAGTTTTCGCTTCAAAGCAACATGGAGACCAATTTTGAAAGGGCTACAGAGTTTTCTAGGCCCGGTTTGGGGCTGTAGTTTTGTTTGAGGCACTGTAGAGCCTCTGGGAGGACTTATTTCAAGCCTCGCGTCCTGCGTATGGCTTTCGCTTAGGCTCGGGGCTGAATGAAGACAAGACATGTGACCTCAGGGGCCTCAGCTTATATAGGAACACATAGTGATAACAGGGTAAAACGGAGAACCAAATGGAAAAGAACGTGGAAACCACAATGCAGGTTGAGTTTTCCAAATTTCAGGCTGGCGAACCCTTGACCCTGGCATATGTCGAGCCAGATTGGTGCTTCCGCTCAGAAGACTTGTTTAAGTTTAGGGACATGGGTTTAGGGTTTATGGATTGTGGTTTGAGGTGCAAGGATGTGGATTTAGGGACTGGGGCATCTGGGGCTTGGGGCCTAGCATTTCATAGGTTATACTTTGCTCACCACAGGTTCACTTTGATTCCTCGGCTTCCATGGCTTTCTTAACCCTTAACCTTAAACTCTAAACCCGGAATGCGCATTCTGGCGGTTTGTCGGGTGGAAACAGGAGTGAACATATCTTAAACCCTCAACCTTGAACCCTAAACCCTAAATCCCAAGCCCTAAAACCTGACCATGTACGAGGTAGCTGCAACAGAAGGCCTGTCTAAGAGCTTAGGCTTCCAAGGGGTTCCCAAGCCCAGCGTCCGTTACAGCGTGCTTTGACGGACTGTGGAGTTAGGAACCGTTGGAACTTCCGTACCCTGAACCCTAAACCCTAAACTCCCTAGGCACATCTTTGGCAGGTTTGCTTGAAACTTTGCAGTCCCAAGGTCCTCCAAAGTTGGCCCTACTCTCTACAATCTGTGAGCCCTCAAACCTGAGCCCGCAACTCCCTGAGATGCTTGTTTCTTTGAGGTTACAACCTCGAGCCCAATCACTGCCTTCACCCTAAAATGGGGGTTGCCAAAACTTCTGGGTCCCTGTTTGAATTGGCGGTACCCATGATATGGACTATCTTAAACACTACACGCTAAACTGTAAACCTTATAGTATATGGGGCACGGGAGGGGTTCCCCTATTTATGGAAACTGCCAAATCCTTCCTTCAAGAGAAGTCCCTGAGACCTGAGCTAGGATTGACGGATGAAATCTTGCGCCACTCTGCGTCCCCAAGCTATTGATAGTGAAAAACACCCATATTTCACCACCCAAACAACGATAATCCTTAATTTTTGGGACCCAAAACGGTACCCCTAACTTTCGGAAAGCTGTGACTCCTAGGCCTAAAAGCTTAAACTCTTAAACCTAAGTTGGAGCAAGATTTCCTCCATTAGTATAATACGAAGTTCAAGGCCTGGAAACGAGCGCCGGCATCAACTGCCATGGCCTCACATGACGTTCAGGGTTTACAGTTGAGGGCTCAGAGTTTAGGATTTGGGGTTTAGGGTTCTGGTTTAGGTTTGAGGGTTTAGGGTTCAAGGTTTGGGGTTTAGGCTGTTGCCCTAAGAGGCCCTTCTATTGTCTCTTTCCGTGCCTTGGAAAAGACTTCACTGAGAGTGTCTACGTTCCCATGTGTCTTCCAAATTTTGCTTGCACAGTACACGTAATGCGCACATGAACTTAATGGTGGTGCTATAGTCCCCGCCATTAATTAACACAATGTTCCCTTTGAGCTTTACAGTGGTTGTTTTTTGAAGAGAGCGTCAGTTTACCCAGCTCAATCACCAAAACCACGACTCACATTAAGGTTTGGCTCTCATCTGGGTAATTTGGATTGAAGTGACATTGCGGGGGGAGAGAGAGCGAGCGAGAGAGAGAGAGACTATGTATATATATATATATACACATTATGTATGTATATACATACATGTTAGTAGCGGGGTTCGTCTGAAATTACACAGAGAGATGATGTACGACACCATATTCTGGCTGACAGTTGGTAAGTTTGTTTTAGAAGGGTTTGGGTAGTGAGGGGTTTTTAGCTACCCCAATCTTCAAGATTCGGACCCTATTATAATCATCTTATGGTTATAGGGTGCTCATTGTAAGGGTTGGGGTAGCTAAGTTCTTATTAATATTGGCGGAGCTGAGTCTAGGAAAGTCCAGGTGAGCAGTTTCGCCGCTAGGAACCTTACATGCATCCGAGTCTCCCCATATAGGCCTCATGCAAGCCTGATGTAAGGGAACTCCCCTTCGGGGTTTCCCAAAATTTCCATGGGGTCAGCTAAGGTTATATAAGGGGTATATATAGGGGCATATAGAGTTATGAACTCCCTCTTTGAGAAACCTAAACCACAGGCCCCAAAACCCAAACCCTAAACCCTAATGCTTCTTGCTGCTCTCCTTACTAAGTATATAAGTGGACGTGATTCATAAGAATCCTTTCGCAAACTCTCGCTGGAACCCTAGTTGTTAAATTCCAAACCCTTTAAACCCTAATCCCCTTCGTCCCTGAAGCCCAAAATCCCTACACCCAAATCCTTACACCCCCAGCCCAGAATTCCTACACCCTAAATCCCGACACCCCCAGCCCAGAATCCCTACGCCCCAAGCCCCAGAATCCCCACACCCTAATCCCCAAACGCTACACCCTATGGTCCCCCTTAAGTAGATAGAATATGGGGTATATGGGATTCTTACTAATTGTAATATACCCAAAGCCATTTTACCCCAAACCCTAAACTTAAATCCTAAACCCTAAACCCTAAACTTAAATCCTAAACCCTAAACCCTAAACTTAAATCCTAAATCCTAAACCCTAAACTTAAATCCTCCCTAAACCCTAAACTTAAACCCTAAACCCTTAAGGGGCCCTAACACCCCCCCAACCCCCCGCAGCCTTGCAAGGTCGAGCCACTGGTTCTTCGATTGCGATTGCCCGCGGTGCGAAGCCGAAGGCGAGCAGCTAGGTACCCCAGTAGTACCCGTTTAGGGTTTAGGGTTTAGGGTTTAGAGTTTAGGGTTTAGGGTTTAGGGGTCTCCTTATTGAAATTGAATAGTAGGAAAAAGGGTACCCTTGTTATTAATGGGTTACTGGGGAACCTGGGCAGTCTGGATGTGTCATACAGGGGTTCTATTTTTTGGTCTAGGGTTTTGGGGTTTTGGGGTTTAGGGTTCAGGGGGTTATATACGGATTCTGTAGGGATGACGGAGGGTTCATATAGGGATTCTAGAGGGGATTGTAGAGGGTTTAGTTAGGGATTGTATACGGATTATCTAGGGTTTATATAGGGATTATAGAGGGGTTATACTGCGGTAGGACGAAAGTTCGACCCACTTGTTGCAGAC